GGCCATATATGACTTCGAAAGGTGAGAGATTAGAAGGCTTTTTTGGCAGGGCCCTAATGTGCAATAAAGCCAAGGGGAGCACCTTTACCCAGTGGGAAAGGGTGAAAAAGGAGTGAAGGAAAATAGTGAAACTCTGTGGACTAGAATGGAATAGAGTGAAGAAACTGGAAGAGTTTTGGGGGATCTTTGGGCCGATCCCCGGTGGTTACGAAGTGTAGCAGAGAGGAGGGTAAAGCTTTGTAGGGTGGCTGATCGAGCCACTTGATCGGCCTTGGAATTCCCCATAGTAGTAAGGAAGGAGTCAGTTTTGTGGGCCTTGCAATGGATTATTCCCAGTTGGGGAGGCATCCTGGAGGCTTGTAGTAGGCCAGAAATAAGTGTGGAATTAATGACTGCCGTCCCTCTGGTGGTCAATACCCCCTTTCTTTCCAAATGGCTGCATGGGAGATCAGGATATGGAAGACGTATTGTATAGGGAGAGGGTTTATCCCTCTGCTAGCTCGCATGCCCTTGTGGCAGCTATGAGTTCAGCTTCTTGGTTGGTGGTATTGGGTGGTAGAGGTTTTGCCTCTATGATGGATGAGAGGGAAATGACAGCATACACTGCCACTCTAACCCCTTCGTGTATAAAGGAGCTACCATCTGAGAACCAGACGAGATCCGAAGAGGGCAGGGGTCCCTCAGAAATGGTGGTAGGGCAGGGTAAAATAATCTCTAATACCTCCAGGCATTTGTGGATGGGATCTTGTGAGAAGATGGGAGGAGGGAGGCAGGGTTTAATGGAGAGCAGGGCTGAAAAAAGATGGAGGGATTTTCAAGGAGAGACAAGGAGGGATAGAACCCTGGAAGGAGGAAGTGACTGTAGCCCCCTTGTAAGTGAGAAAATAATGGTGAGGAGATGAGATGGTTATCAGGGAGCCAAAGATAAGCTTGTGTGCTTCTTTATGGAGGTCATGGGCCGCTGCTAGGGCTCTGAGGCATGGGGGCCAGCCCCTAATGGTGGAGTCAAACTGTTTGGATAGGTAGGCCACTAGTGCAAATGTGGGGCCATATTCCTGACTCTGAATGCCAGAACTTGTCCCTGTTTTTATATAGAGGGTGAAGGGTCAGGAGAGGTTGGAAAGATGCAGGGTGGGTGCCCAGAGGAGGGCCTTTTTAAAGAGCTTCCCTACCGCTGAGAGTAGGGGTTCATCTTGGGGGCCCTTGGCCAGATTCCAGGCCCTGAAGTACCCAGCCAAACCTAAGGAGGAGAGTCATCTTTGATCTTTGGTGTAGGTATAGACACAATAATGGCCTTTTTCCTTTGAGAGATAGAGAACCCTAGATACATGCTATTTGGGCCTTTTGTGGAGAGGCCCAATATCCCTTTAAGGCCAAGAAATTAAGTAGGAGAACTGTGTCATCTGTTGAGCGCCCTTTGGAGGCCAAAAGAATTTGTTTGCAAGAGGTGGAGAGAGCAGGATTGGATCGGAGCAAGAAGAAAGCCTGGAAGAGATCCCTTAGAATGGAGGGATCCAGGGACCCAAAAAGGGGCCATCTGCTTTGGTTGTCTAAGGGATAAGTGGGCCAGGCCTGGGTGCTATATTTGATCCAAGAGGCATTGTAGGGGAGAGTCAACCAGCAGAGAGGACACATGACCCATGTAAGGAGGAGGGAAGAGGACACAGAGAAGGAGGAAACTGATTTATTGGCAAAAGGGGCGTCCCTGCTAGAGCCAAAAATCAGGAGTGCCTTAGTGGCAGGTTCCAGCTGCAGAGATTGGTCGTCACCGAATCCTGACAGTCGAAGCTCTCATCTTGGATGGAGCTGGAGCCGTGGGAGACCTTGGCCAAGGCTTTTCGGGACCCCTCCTGGAGAGGCTGGATACTCCCAGGGCCAGAAAGAGGGGAGAGGAAGGGGAGGGTAAGTGTCTCTCTAGCGGCCGAGTCTTAAGGTGAGAGGACCAGGACTTTCGAATCTGCCCAATGAAGGAGTCCCTGAGGGCCACCATAGCCTTAAAGGCTGTGGTGGGGTGCTTTCCTCTCCACAGGTGGGCAAAGAGATTTGCCGGATGATTATCAACATATTGTAAGAGGGTGGATTAGGGGCACTGGGGATGAAAAGGTTGGAGGTGGGAGGCTAAGGTTTGTCCAAAGAGGTGTGGACTATCTCGAAATCCCTGAGGAAGGACAGTCCAGGTTAAAGGCAAAAAGATATAAAGATATCCTTTAAATCTATGACCGAGAAGTGGGTGGCAGTGTGGAGGATCTGAGACAGCAGAGTGTATGGGTTGGGAACCAAAGGATGTATGTTGTAGGCCCAGAAGAACTTTATGGGCCTAACAGAAGTGTTGATGAGTCATAGATAGGACCCATTGGGTTTTTTTACCGTAGTATGGGAGTAAGGGGAATGAGCAGGACGGAGGTACCCCTTGCTAAGAAGGTCCTGAATAATCAGGAAATGGTGGAGGGGGTGTGGTTATCCCATACAATTGGGTTAACTAGGTTAGTATGGTATTTCATGTCAGCCTCACAAGTGGAGCAGAAGGGCCAGTTTTCTGTCAAAAGGGCCAGAAAAGATGAACAGGCCGATTCTGGGGCCTGAATGATGCCAGGAGCCCGTATGTTGATTGTTGTATTGAATTTAGAGAGAATATCTCAGTCGAGCAAAGGAACTTGACATTGGGGCATAACTAGGAACGTCTGAGAGGTTGGGAAGTTGTCTATGGAACAGAGTAATAGGGGAGTCTTTCTTGGATAGATGGTCTTTCCTCCTACCCCGACAATAGGAGAGGTGGATGGCACTGTTTGCCCCCAGAATACTGTCAGGACTGAGAAGGTAGCTCTGATGTCAAGGAGAAAGTCAACCTTGCACCTATCCACCTGAATCTGCACCGTCAATTGATTGCCATGCCCAGAAGGTCAGAGGGTTCCCTTGCCATAGGCCTCCTACGAGATCTAGGACAGTCAGAGCCCCAATGACCTTGTTGTTGACAATTAGGGCATGGGGTACGCAGAGTGTGTGGTGCAGGACATGCCCTGGCCCAATGTTCCTCCTTGCCACACTTGAAGTAGGAGCCCAGGGGGGTTTTCGGTGATGGGCGGCAACCCAAGGAAGCACTCTGCAGGACTGGGCGAGCATCTGAAATTTCTCAGTCTGGGGGGTGGCAGGGCCTTGTTTGAGCTTTTTTAGTTTGGCCCAGATGTCAGGGTAGTTCTGCGAGAGGAAATATGTCATAAGGACATGAAGGCTATCTGGGGTTTTGGGAGTTTGATCTGGGGGCAGCAAGTGGCCCCGGAGGGTGATTGGGATTAACTCGGTGAGTTTCATCCACATGGGCTCTGGCAAGTTCCCAGACTCTGGTACGTTCCTCAAGAAGGAGAGTATTAGCCAATAACATATAAGTGAGGCTACAAGCCTGGAGGGCCCTTTTGAAACTCTCTTTTGTGGTGAATGAGCCCAACCTTTGCTCGAGTTGCATGGGGTCATTCATAGAGAACGGGACATGTACCTGGACAATGCACCCAGGTCCAGCAACCTCTCTTAAAGGGGCCATGATTTGTGGGACTAGGGGCGGGATCTAGTTTGGGGGAACTAAAGCTGTAAGCCAAGTCAGGGGGAGCACCTGAGGGGGTGGACGGAGCTGATGGGGGAGGTCGGTAGGGAGGGTGTTCATCTGCTGGATAGGTAGGGGTGAGAATGAAGAAGAGAAAAAGCCTCAACATAGGGGAACTCCTTCCACTTTTTCTAGCGATCACAGGAGTTAAACAGATCTCTACGAATTGCGGGATCTAGAGATCCTCCTGGGGGGCATTGACTTTGATTGTCTAATTAATAGTAAGGCCAATCTTGTGTGCAGAATTTAATAAGGGGAAGTCTGCAGGGAGGGAAGAAGAGGCCGCCATAGGTCAGGAGAGGGACAAGGGTGGTTGAGAGAGAAAGAAAGAGAGAGAGAGAGGGAGTGCCTGTTCTTCCACCCCTCAGTACCTCTTGCTCATGAACTGGGTTCCAGAGGGTCCACCGTGACCATGAAGGTCATGGTGGGGTGTGTTCTCTCCTCCAGATTGGGCGTTAGAGGTTTGCCGGACGATCACGGTCAAAGCCCCTGTGTAGCCCATCTGAAGTTGGATACCCGATAGGGGAACTCACCTACTGAAGATCTGGTCTTGTAAACAGCACTCGAAAGAGTGGACCAGGACAGCAAGCCTTGAAAGAAGGGGCCCTCAAGCAGCGAGGCATTCCCCCTCCGGGGTTTTGACACCAATGAAAGAACGAACAAGGCTTGTCGTCGGAGCAAGTGCCCGTTTATTGAGGAACAGCTCTGCATATTTATAGAGCCAGGGGTGGTTTGACAGTTGGCATGGGGTGATTTTTGATTGGAGGGTAAGGATCAGGTGAGCCAGCAGGGCTAGTCTGATTGGTGGGTAGGATCAGGTGAGCCAGCAGGGCTCTGATTGGTGGGTAAGGATCATGTGAGCCAGCAGGGCTCTGATTGGTGGGTAAGGATCATGTGAGCCAGCTGGGCTCTGATTGGTGGGTAAGGATCATGTGAGCCAGCAGGGCTCACCATTGGATGGTTCTTCTTAGGGGATGGGGAAGTTAGTCTTTGGAGCTGGGGCAACTCCCAACAATAGGAGTTAAAGTTTTCTACAGTAATTATATTGTTTGAGAGGAGGAAAGAAAATTTTATTTAGCTGTAGACTTTGTTATGTGAATATTAACACTAAAGAGTTAATAATAATTTCTAAAAGATTAAAAAGGAATGTATGACATCCAAACTGGTAAAGAGAGGAGGTAAAATAAGCTCATTCAAATCCAATAGATTGAGGGTGGCCGAACTAAGGCCAAATCTGGCCCATTGCCTGTTTTGGAATAGCCCATGAGCTAAGAATGGTTTTACATTTTCATGGTAATTTTTAAAAGCCTCAAAGAAGGATAATATGCCCTATAGTGACTATACATGTCAAAATTGCATGATATTCAAATTTCAGTGTCTATAAATGAAGTCCCATTGGAAACAGCTACGCTCACTTGTTCACATCTTGTCTGGAAAAGTTGCAACAGAGCCCGTATGGCCACCAAGCCTAAAATATTCACTCACTGGTCCTTTACAGAAAAAGTTTTCTGACCCCAGCAATAGTCAGCAGAAGAACAGAAGAGTATAGCAGCAAGATGTTCAATACACACTGAATTGTCACAAGTCATTTCATCACCATGACTGGGACTGATAAGAACCCTGAGGCCTATTTCCTGAAATCTTTCATGTTAAGTGAAAATGTGCAACAGACCATTGGAATAGAGAGTGGAGAGGAGTGAGATCAGGTCTCTCCTCTCAGTTCCTTTGGGTTCCAGCTTTGCCTTTGCCCTCTCTGCCTTTGAATGCACCCACAGGGGTGACCAGACTGAGCGGCAGGCTGAGCAGCTTGGCCTGTTTGGGGGGCCTGGGCTGAGCAGAGGCCAACTCTCTCCCTTCAGTTGCAGGGTGCCATCATGGTTGCTTCCTGCATCCAGATACTGGTGGGATTCTCAGGCCTCATCGGCTTTCTCATGCGCTTCATTGGCCCCTTGACCATTGCTCCGACCATTTCCCTGGTGGCCCTGCCTCTCTTTGATCCTGTTGGCAATGACGCTGGAATCCACTGGGGGATTTCCTTCATGTAAGTACTTTCTGGGGAGGAGGCCCAGCCACGCTTTCTTTGGTGGAAGTACAGCTAGTAAGAATAACATGAGTCCAGGATGCCAGTTTTCATTGAGCTGGGAAAGGGTGCAAAGAATGGCCCCAACTCTTCAGCACCATTGTAGTCTAAGAGATATAAAGGCCCATGATACCAGGAAGCAGCCAGGAGGCCTTGGGGCTGTGCGAATGTGAAGGAGAGGTGGTCAGCTGGGAGGATCAGGAAACAGGAAATGAGGCCTCAGGCATTTAAACAATTTTGGAGGGACCTGGGAGTGACACTGATATGCTCAAGTTCAGGACCCCCAAAAGACCACCAGAGACCAAGATTGATGTAAGCAGCAAAGAGGTGTTCATTGCGAGCTAGCTCGGTCCTCTGCGCACACAGCAACTGGTGACGCTGAGAGGCCCCGAGCCCAGGGTTTGCAGCAGTTTTATACACTCTTTGGGGGAGGCAGGGACTTCACATACATCGTAGCATCTCTTAGCAAATCATCACACACCGCGGGAAAATCATAAAACAACTCTAAAACATGATTAGCACATTCACTGACGGGAACAAGTTGGGTAGCGGTGATTGGCTAGTACAAGAGGGGGACTTGTTTGAACTGATTGGTTTAAGCCACGAGGGGAGTACATGCTGAACTACATGGTTTCCCAACATGTTATCAACCACCATAAACTACTGGGGGTCATCTGGCATCCCAGGTATTTTCTCTGTCTCATGCTGATTGTTGGTTGCTAGGGAGTTGCTATGGGTCCTCACTTAGCCTGAGTCAGGGACACCTGGCGCCACAGATCTCTCCTGTTATTGACAGACAAACAACTCAGCAGGGTGGCTATCTGTCTAGAAGTGCTCTGTGGGTTTTTCCAAGGACAAGGGTCACACCCCCTTCCTTGGACAGGCTTTGCTCTAAGGTAGAGGCTGGTTTCTAAAAAATGGAGTCACATCAGTTTCTCAACACTGTCATTCACTCTGCCTCTTGTGGTCTGAGGTGAGGTGTGGGAATCATCAGAACTGCACCAGACCTGCCTGAGAGATATGACAGTCCCTATGGGCCTCAGTGACTCTGTCTGCTGCCAACAGCCTGTTCCTCTCAGATACACCAGAAACAATGGCATCTTATCCCACAAGTCCTCTTCAGCCACAAGCAGTTCCAACAGGGACCTCTTTTCAGAGATAGCAGGTATCTACATATGGTGCAGAGGGCCACCAGCTGGAGCCCCTCCTGGTGAGGACATTGATCCCAGAGACACCTGGTGGCTCAGCTTCTCAGACCACCCCCAAAGCCTCCTGAGCCCCTGCTCAGGACAAGTCCACTTTCCAGCTTGTGTACGCTTGTTTGTTTCAGGACCATCTTCCTCATCATGCTGTTTTCTCAATTCCTGAAAAACATCCCAGTGCCTGTGCCTGTGTATGGTGGAGAGAAGAAGTGTCACACCTCCAAGTTCTACCTCTTTCAGTTCTTCCCTGTAAGAAGCACCTCTTACCCACCCTCTTCTATTCGAAATTGATGTACCTGGAGATTGTCGGCAACTTCCCTGTGCCCAGGTGGCCCCCAAATCAAAGCTCCTCCATCTGTGGTGGCCTCTTCCTAGGAGGAAGAAAGAGTCCCAGGTCTGTGGGGTGTACTTCCCGGCTGTTGGTGGCATTGCATTCTAGGTCCTTCCTCACAGGCTTCTCTCCCAGGAGCCCTAGTCGCTGTTCTGGGCACTGTTGTGTCTTCTTGTCCTCATACAAGGTACTGGGAGAGACAGTCAGGTTCACCTCTAATGAGGTAAAACTAAGGGTCTGAAGGAGCCTGCTGAGCCAAATTGCTTAGATCAGGGTCTTTCCCAATGTCTCACGGGCAATCCAACTGCTGGTGAGCAAGATGGCGCCTCCCTTCCCAGAGCCTTCTTTGTTGATTTCACACCAAGCTGTCCAGTGTGTAATTGTCACCATAGCTGTGTCTTCAGGTTTAACTGAGAACTGTGTTTCTCAAAGTACAAAGAAACTTCCATATAATGATCTTATTGACCTTTCAAAAACCCTGCAGTCCAATGATTCCAAAATTCGGTGTGCATGTGAATCACTTGGAAAATTCACTAAGAATATGGAGTTCTGGGGTCCCACCACCAAATATAAAATTGATATACCTGTGGACCTCACTTTCAGGCCCTGTTTCAGGCTCTACAAACAGTGATTGTAATTCCATGGTAGAGATGAGAAAACTAAGTCTCAGAGGGTTTGCTCCTAGGTCACATGATTAGCAATCAGTGGAGAGAGAGCAGGTGGGAATCCTTCTGCTCCATGCTGTGCCCAGTGTGCTGGATTTTCCTGCCCCATAGTCTCCTCCCATAGTTTGTTTTGTGCTTCTATTTCCAGCCTGTTTCTTTAATGTGCTAAGTTACCCATGGTCACAGCAGGTTCCTGTTGTCACTAGCAGGGTGGTCACCCAGCACTTGCTCATCTGAGCATGTTCCTGGACCCCTCCTGAGGGAGGAAAGGGGGCAGGAGCTGGCAGAGCTGAAGGGAGACTCCCTTTGGCAGGTGCTGCTGGCTCTCTGCATTTCCTGGTTCATCTGCTTCGTGCTCACGGTCACCAACACTCTCCCCTCGTCCCCCATTGACTATGGGTACCTGGCCCGCACTGACACCAAAAGCAATGTCCTGCGCCAGGCCCCTTGGTTCCGCATCCCTTACCCAGGTAAGGAGAAGATAGGTGCCCTTCTAGCTTGGGCCACTGGATCTGTGTGGCTCAGGTCACGGGATGGAGAGTAGAACAGGGCTGGGGGAGGGATTGATAAGGAGAGATAGGCCCCAGGGAGTCCATATTTGACTCCTAAAGAAGAAGAGACTCCAGGTTGTTATAAGAATTCCTTGGGTGGTGGACAAAGGCTGGCACTCCCAGACTTCCCTCAAAGCTGGGCTACATCCCTTGTCCGCCACATTGCCCAGAACCTTAAGCCTGGGGGTGGGTAGAGGTGGGAAAGAGAGAGGCCTAGCCTCCACCTGGACTTTGTGTTTCCTCATGGATTCAGTGGATCTCACGCAAGGAGGCTCAGGACTGAATCAGAGCGTTTCTGGGGAGACCAGGGAATCCCTTAGGCTACCTCTGCTCCCCTTTTCCCTATGGTTTTGTCTCATGGTGTCAAAGTATCCAAGGTGTCCAGCAAGGGCCAACCTGTCCTCAGGGATATGGACTAGGGCCTCCCTGAAGAATCTCAGTTTCCAAACCTTCAGGCCTCCCTAGGAAAAGGCCATTTCTGCTTCTTTCTGTGCACAGTGACCTCAAGTTCTGGGCATCTGATAAGACTCAGGAGGAATGGCAGGGCAGGAATCCCAGGCAAAGCCAAAGTAGTTGTAAGAGCTGCCAACTCTTTACATTGTCCCAGAAATCCCTCTAGCCAGGAAATGACTTGGGTTTCCTCAGCCTCCTCTGACTGGACACTCCCTCTGCACTGCATTTTCAGGACAATGGGGCCGCCCCACCATCAGCCTGGCTGGAGTCTTTGGGATCATTGCTGGGGTGGTCTCCTCCATGGTGGAGTCTGTGGGTGATTATTATGCCTGTGCCCGGCTGGTGGGAGCCCCACCCCCTCCGAAGCACGCCATCAACCGTGGCATTGGCATCGAGGGCCTTGGCTGCTTATTGGCAGGAGCCTGGGGGACAGGAAATGGCACCACCTCCTTCAGCGAGAATGTTGGGGCACTGGGTATCACCAAGGTAAGTCTACTGATGGTGGCTCCTGGGGACAGGCTGGGTACCTGAATCTGCCATCGTACCTGCTACTTTCCTGTTGCTTCTGTAGCAAATTAGCACAAAGTGATGGCTTCAAACAACCCAAACTTATTATCTTCTTATTTTATTTTATTTTGTTCTTTTTAGCTATACATGACAGTAGAATGTATTTTGATATGTCATACATACATGGAGTATACCTTCCCCTTCTTGTGGATGTACATGATGTGGAGTTTCACTGGTCGTGTATTCATATATGAACATAGGAAAGTTATATAAGATTCATTCTACTGTCTTTCCCATTCCCATCCCCCTTCCCCCACCCCATTCCCCCTGTCCAGTCCAATGAACCTCCACTACCCTCCACCCCTGCCTATTGGGAGTCAGCATCTGTATATAGAGAGAACATTAGCCATTTTGGAGATTGGCTGATTTCACTTAGCATGATACTCTCCAGTTCCATCCATTTACCAGCAAATGCCATCATTTCATTTTTCTTTAAGGCTGAGTATATTCCATTGTGTATGTGGATCACATTTTCTTTGTTCATTCATCTATTGGGGGGCACCTAGGTTGGTTCCATAGCTTAGCCATTGTGAATTGGGCTGCCATGAACATTGATGTGGCCACATCACTACAGTATGCAGATTTTACATCATCTGGGCATACACCAAGGAGTGGGATAACTGGGTCAAATGGTGGTTCCAGTACAAGTTTTTGGAGGAATCTCCACACTGCTTTTCCGAGTGTTGCATCAAGTTGCAGTCCTACCAGCAATGTATGAGTATACTTCTTTGCTCCACATCCATGCCAACGCTTATTGTTGCTCATATTCTTGATAATTGCCAGTCTGACAGGAGTGAGATGAAATCTCAGTGTGGTTTAATTTGCATTTCTCTAATTGCTAGAGATGATGAACATCCAAACTTACTATCTTAATTGATCTGGAAGCCAGATTTTGGACACTGGCCTCGTGGGCTCAAAGGGAGGCATCAGCCGGGCCATTCTCTGGAGGCTCTGGGGGGACCCATGCCCTGTCCTTTTCTGTCATCCAGCATCTGCAATTATTGGGCTGTGGCCACTTTCTCCATATTCCCCTGCCACAGATGGAAAGGTTCTCTGCTTTCCAGAACCAGTGGACTTAGACCGGGCCCACCTGGCTACTCTCCCATCCCCAGGTCCTTAACGTCATCACATCAGCAGAGTCGCTTTTGCCATTAGAGGCAATGTATTCGCAGGTTTGAGGGTTATGACAGGTGCCTCTGCAGGGCCCATGATTCCACTTTCTGTTCTTGACTTTGTTGGACTGTGGCCATCCACAGGCAAAAAGTCTATTCTGTCACTGGTGGGTACTGGAGAGAGTCCTTCCTTTCTGAAGTTTAGGTGGGGGCTTCCTTACCTACAGACCTGAGTGATCCACTGAGCATGGCAGCCCCTCCTGATGTCCCCAAGGCACTTCACACACAGTGGCTTCTGGGAAGCCCAGCGCATGCCCTATCTGACTTTTCCTGCTGTCCTTGTCTTATTTCACCCCACTGGCATGTCCTCCTTAGCTTCTTGCTCACCTGTTGGTTCTGATTTCTCCCCATGGCCCCCTTCCTGTCTCCTTTCATCATCCCCAGTGCCGCAGCCTGATCATCTCCCGCCTGGACGCTAAAGTAGTGCCTTCCATCCTGTCTTCTCAGGATCTTGCCCATCTACTTCTCATGGCTCCCCATTTTCTACACTATAGTTCAATCAGATCAGCAAGAACTCTTGATAACGGTGTTTTCTAAAGTGACTTAGAGCCAAGTGTGGTGGCACCGCCTGTAAACCCAGGGGTTTGGAAGGCTGAGGCAGGAGGATATCAAGTTCAAAGCCAGCCTTAGCAACATCAAGGCTCTAAGCAACTTAGTGAGACTTGTCTTAAAATAAAAACATAAAAGAGAGCCGGAATGTGGCTCAGTGGGTGAGCATTCCTGAGTTCAATCCCTGCTACCAAAAAAATAAAGTGACTTAGAAAACCATAGTGTTGCTTTGTTGTTTTCCGTATGTTTCTGTGAATTCTGGCAGTGGTCCCAGAGCAAGTCCTGTGAGTCAAGGAGAAATACAGCACCTCCTCCCCCACACCCTGACTTGCCCTGTCTTATGGCTCCCTCAGTGGCTCTGTGTGCATCCTGAAGGCACTGAGTCTTTATAGCATCAGATCTATCTTCCTCTGTGCCCTGTATGACCTCTGGCACAGCTGGAGCTAAAATCTGTGAGCAAATGGTTGAGCCAGCACCCAACCCTACAGCAAGTCCTATGTTCCATGACACCCACTCTGTAAGAGTTCAAAGCCATTCATGCAAGTGAGGGGAACATTTTGTACAGGAGGACCACTAACCCATGCAGAAATGTTTCCTTTCCCACTTATTCCTTTAAGTGGAATAAATCTCATGCCAACAAAAAATATCTCAATAAAGAAAAAAAGGCCATTTTTCTGGACATCATTTCCAAGCTAAGGTCATTAGAGGAAAGGGTGAAAGTAGGAAATAAAGGTACATAGACGAAAACAAGGCTACACATCAAACATAAGACCCATAAACTGGGAAAGAGGTGAAGGTGCTAAGACCACTCGCTTTTATGGACTCGCTTGCCCCCTTGCGGCCCTTTGAGGTACTGCCCCGTGTTGTCCTCTCCAGCAATGAGTTCCCACAACTTCTTGATTCTCTCCAAGTCTTGGGGGAAATAAGATTAAAGGCCAGAATTCTCCTGTCAGTTCTGTAGGATGTCCTGCTGCCAGCCCATATGTCATTCGTGTGACTAAAACGGCCCAGGGCTGTATGCAAAGTGTGTGCAGTAATAAGATTGGGGAAGACTTCCATCCTTAGGAGACTAGTGGCAAGTCAAAGGACATGGGTTGACCCCAACACATCTATCCATGGTGCTTGTAGTCATGCCTCTGTTCTCACAGCTAATTGTCAAGGCTGTAAATAAAACAAAACGTTCTTTGATGTGGTAAGAATTTCTAATGAAGACAGTTAAATAAATAAGCTTTTTGCCTGGAAAGAGTAAAACAGGCAAGTGTACAATCTGCTACTTTATCATGGCATTGATGGACTTTAGTTGAGGCTGGAGTATCTTTTCAAAAGGTTTTAATTGTGGTAAAAAGCACTAAACATACAATTTACTCTGGTAACTGTTATTAGGTATACAATTCAGTAGTGTTTATCATATTCCAATTGTTATATGACATATCTCTAGAACTTTTTCATCTTGCAAGACTGAAACTATATTATAGTATCTATTAGGGTCTTGGGGTAGGTACACGGGAATGAGAGACAGATTCAAGAACTATCTATATATATTTATCAACACTGGACTTATGAGGATGAGAATATTTGTAATATAGCCCTAACTTCCAAGAATGAAATGGAGCCCCCAAATTGGAGGGTCATTATTTGAAGACTTGTTTCCAACCAGTTCTGTGTTCACAGCTAAAATGAGTGAGAGATAATGAGACCCATTTCTGCCACACAGGCATAATGGCCTTCCACCACTCTGGCGGTACATCTGTTATGGTTGATGAACTGACATCATTATCACTACCTACAATCTACAATTTACATTGGGGTTCACTCCTGGTGTTGTACATCTTGCAGACTTAGACAAGTGTATAACGACACATATATACCACTGCAGTATCATACAGAATTGTTTTCAGAGGTCATTTCTGCCTCACTAATACAAGTTGTCTCCCAAACCCCAGTTGTGAGCCCTGATTAGCACAACCATTGGTAGTGACAGCAGGGTGGCAGCTGTGTGCCCCAGCATTGAGACCAGCTATGTGATGGGTGGATGTTGACCAAGGTCCATGATCTTCACTGCAGGGTGAGCTATTTTTTAAGCCTTTGTAGAAACTGTTTTATTTCAAGATCTAACAGCAGTTGTAAGGAGGTAGCCAAACACATTTCTTTAGCATTCCAAGACTCCTTACCACTCAGGCATCTCTATGCAAACCAGGTAACGGCTGTCAGTGAGAAGCAGGGCTGAGATTGGCTCTCAAACCCCCATTCTTAAGCACAGGACCACTGCCACTCCAGAGAAACTAATCCCCTCATGTTCGGGCTTCCTAGGGGATGAGCATTTGGTCCAGCACTTGAAGACAAGTATGAGAGTGACAGAGTGGAGAGGTGAGGGCAGAGGTTGGGCCCAAAATGATGATTTTCTCTCTCTCCAACCCCATTTGGGAGCAGAGGGTATGAAGTATGTTCTGGGGCCCTTTTTCTGAAAGTCCATCTCAGCAATGCTCAAGATGACCTGTAACAAGGCCTCTGGGACGTCTGGCCTGCCTGGTTCTCCATCCCCCTCTCCCTGATTGCCACAGGTGGGGAGCAGGATGGTGATTGTCACAGCGGGCTTCGTGCTGCTCCTGATGGGTGTTTTTGGGAAGATCGGGGCTGTGTTTGCCACCATTCCAACCCCAGTGATCGGGGGCATGTTCCTTGTCATGTTCGGGATCATCAGTGCCGTGGGGATCTCCAGTCTGCAGGTGAGGTGGGCGAGTTGCCTCAGAAAAGTAGCAGGAGCCCAGAGGATGGAGAGGGGCAGAATGGGACAGGGGCTGGGGAGGAGAAGGGAATCCTTGGCCTGGAACCACACTGCTCCCAAATGGAAGAGAGAAATAGCCAGAAATGTCCAACCTTCTGAGAGGTCGTGAAGGAGTGATCTCAGCACCTCTCTCTGGGCCTTCCTCCTGCAGTACGTGGACATGAACTCATCCAGGAACCTCTTTGTCTTTGGCTTCTCCATTTACTGTGGCCTCACCATTCCCAACTGGGTGAACAAGAACCCTGAGAAGCTGCAGACAGGTGATTGCTCCTCACCTCTCCATTTTGTCACTCCGCTCTGTCCCCTACACAGTCGCCACTCTGGTTGTGGAGCCAGCAGGGACCCAGGGTCCTGTGAACCTGTCACTTTTGTCTCATTTTAGGCATTCTCCAGCTGGACCAGGTCGTCCAGGTGTTGCTGACCACAGGCATGTTTGTTGGAGGATTTCTGGGCTTTCTCCTGGATAACACCATCCCTGGTAGGGCTCACCTGTGAACTGGCAATGTGGATAAATGGGTACAGTCTGAATGATGTGGAGAGCTTCTAGCTGTGATTACTGTGTCAGGCTGGTCACTGGTCATGGCACACCTTCAGTGGGCTCTAGGTCTGGAGATGAGGGTATGGAAGGGTCTGTATTAGTCAGCTTGGGCTGCTATAACAAAACATCCCAGCCCTGGGGGCTTAAACCATTTATTCTCTCACAGTTCTAGAGGCTAGAAATCTGTGATCAGGGAGCTGATAAGTTTGGTTATTTCTGAGATCTCTCTCCTTAGCTTGCAGATGGCCTTTCCTCTGTGTGTGCACATTCCTGGTATCTGATCCTGTGTCCTAACCTTTTCTTATAAAGATGCCAGCCACATTGGATTAGGAGTCACCCTAAAGGCCTCTTTGTAACTTAACTACCTCATTGTAATGGTCCTATCTCCAAATATAGTCACGTTCTGAGAAACTAGGGTTTGGGTTTCAATGAATGAATTTTAAGGGAGAGAGAGTTCAACCCACAGCAGAGCCCTAAATGGGAAATGTACCAGAAGCAACAGGAAAAAGACACAGCCCTGGCTTTCATGAAGCCTATAATTTAATTGGTGAGAGATCACACATATTCATTCATTCACTCATAGTATTAATGAAATTCCATGAAGCACTTGCTATATAGCAGGTGCTATGTACCAAGAATACGAAGAGTAGTAAGATATGTCCCTTCTGGAAGTCCACAGGCTAATGGGGAACGAGGCAAGAAAGCAGACAAGTTCGTACTGGGTAATACGTGCTGTGAGGAGCAAATAGAGTGTGCAGGGGTCCAGGGAGCTGATGTGGAAAGCAAGAGGCCCAGTCTCTGAAGGATCTGGGAGCGGCTGTCCAGCAGCTCTACTCTCTCTCTCTCTCTCTCTCTCTCTCTCTCTCGCCTCCCTCAGCCTCTCCTGGAGACCTCTGTGGTAGCACCTGCTTCATGGTATTCTATTTCACACGGTGACTGTCCACCAAGTGTGAAGTGCATCTGTATATTCCACGCACATTCAAGTGAGGACAAGTCTGCTCGCTAGAGCTGTGGAAAGGGGGTTCCACACGGCTGTGCTGGGCTCCTTGTGAGGCTCAGAGGATGCCTGCAGAGCTGAGTTCTGATTCTTGAGCTGGGCTTGGAGGAGAAGGAGGAGGAAGGAGAAGAGGAGCAGATGGAGGCAGAGGAAGAGGGGTCGAGATGGAGGAGGAGGTGTCAGTGGGGGCATGTGCACCAGGGTGCCGAGAAGAGGCCACAGGTCCTACCATGTGGCCACCAGAGCCTCCCTCTGCCCTGTCTGCCCCTGCCATCAGGACCCACTCTTGACTTCTCCTGTCCTACATTAGGAAGCCTGGAGGAGCGAGGCATCCTGGTATGGAATCAAGTCCAGGAGAATTCCAAGGAGACTACTCTGAAGTCCTCGGAGGTTTATGACTTTCCCTGGGGCATTGGCACCAAGTTCTGCACGTCCTCCTACATCCGGGTCCTCCCCTTCTGGCCCAGACTGGACCACAGTGGCAAAGGTGAGGTGGGCATGAGCCAGCTTGCCCACTGCTCCCAGGCTTCCTCCAGAAAGCACCTGTCAGGTGCTATAGAAACCAGGATGTGAGGAGAAGGGTCCTCCTGCATGGCCGAGCCCTGGACAGACTTCTGCCTTTGCAATATGCACCAATCTGCCTTCATGAGCTGGAGGTGCCCACCCTCTCCAACACCTGCGGCACCTGTACACCTTGGCAGTCAGGAAGCTTCAGGTTATAATAGTGACCTATAGGCTCTGTCCTGGTCACTTGGTCATCGCATTTGATCTTGACCTGTCCCTCTGGTATTCTCCCAGCTCTGGTGTGGACAGGTGTGGATGCTGTCCACACAGAACTCTGCTACACCATTGTGCTTTGCAGTGTTTTAAAGATTGGGAGGAAGAGGCCTGGGTAGGGTAGGGACAGTGGTGGCTGTTTGCTGGAGGGTGACACTGAAAGCGCACTTTATTCCCCTTCACCAATATAGACCCAGTTCTCATAAGTCTCTCTTTGATTCTGTCTGCTTTGCATTTTAAGGATGAGCTGCCACTAAGGGCTATCTTTGAAGATTCAATGCACACTAAAGTTTGGTAGGAAGTCACCAGCACTCCCTAGTCCCAAGTTATGGGAGAAGATCACACCTAGCAGGGTTTTGGCTGGAAATTCCGCCACAACACAACAAAAATCAGTCACACGTCACTTATTTTTTTATTTTTTGGTACTTGAACCCAGGACTTCCTTAGACTTGCTAAGAATCACTCAACAACTAAGTTACATCCCAGCCCTCTTAACATTTTTTTTTTTTAAATTTTGAGACAGGGTCTCACTAAATTGCCCAGGCTGGGTTCGAACCTGTGATCCTCCTGCCTCAGCCTCCTGAATAGCTGGGGTTGAGC